AAGAGATTTATGTTACACCTTTTAATTATGATTATATTTGGAAGGGTGGTAGATCGCCTACCCAGGCGAACCCTTGTCCATTTGTAAGATCTTGCTTACAATAAACTTTATTATTATTATTATTATTACTCTTACATTTATTTCATAAAGATGATGAACCCGCTTTTTGCACCGCCTATGGTTATCAGCTGTTTGCATTCAGATGCTAGTGTGCATGCGCGGTGTTCTACTTACGGTGCAAAAAATATCTGTCTTTGTTAGGTATATGGGCACAGATGTCGCAAGTAAATAGGAGGCTATGTCCATGGAATATATAATATGATCTAGATTGTGAAGGAAATAAACATGTGAAAAACAGTGCGAGAATAGTGCTCAATGCGACAATCGCCCACAAATAGTGTATAATAGATGGTAAACATACTTACTGGCGAGTCTTTTTACAGTACAATCAATAAGATCACAGGAAGGCATCACGAAAAATGGGGTCCGTTAACTTGGCCCTCTCACTGAGAGATTTGATAGTCGTATTATTTTAAAATGAATGCGCTCGTTAGGCGCTCATATGCGCCACCGATAATAACTCTTGCGCCATTATCGTTTTTTAGAAATCCGCAAAAACATTTAGGGGGGGGGCAAGAACGTAGCCCCCCCCCCCCCCAGTACGTATTTTGTCGCTTGTAACTAGGTCACCTGATACATTTGCTTATGCGCTCAATTGCGCCACCTGCAATAGTGGAAGTTCATAATATTTTTATTGCGTCGATGCGTAGTAACTAGCTGTGCGCTTGATGTCTGTCATTTTGGAAAAAGTTTGCGTAAATCCGTTTATGCAGAAGTTCGGTTAGAGACAGCAAAATGCTACGACTGTCTCAGCGAATAGGACCATAATCCATAATGTTGTTCAGATTAAATCTGGCTCATCATTACGAATAACAGAGTGTACAAAATGCAAACTTTGTACCTATTATACAATTTTGCAAGCTTGATGGACCTATCTGGAATGTATACATATATAATATTAATATATTATTAGATTTCGCCATGAAGGCTCATGGATGCAGAAGATATATTGTACTCAACATTAAAACACTACCTACTTAAAATGACAATCTTCTTAAAGTTTAACAAAAGAAAAGATCATACTAAAAAACAAAAGTTATTCATACTAAGACGCATTAATACCTTGGCAATAACAAATTCGATCAATAAAAAGTTAAATGCATTGCACCACGACCATTAATTATGCAAATACGTTGTTTCCATAATATTATTATGCACATCTCTAATAGTATTTTTACCATTTAAAAAGTAGTTTCCCACGAAGTCTAATAGTCGTAATTTGGGGTAGAGTTATAGCATCTTAGGAAAGACGAGTGGGACTGGAGATCCGAGCAAAACTTGGTCGACACGCTACGAGGTTGAGGAACTCCTCAACCATTGGCAATCAATTACAAGCCAACGGTGGTGGAGTTACCACTCCTCGCTGCACCTTCTTCAGTCTTCATATCTTCAATGATTATCTGCATCCATTTCCACATAAACGACGTCAGATTGGATTAAACCTGAACCAAACCAGTTTAGAGGTGATTTTTCTTCCGTAATTATATTTGCAGGTATCTGCAGGTGATAGATAATAATGTGACATGCCGATTGTCGATATGTGAAGGACTTATGGTCACCAGAACAGGAAATATTTAAGGAATTCGTAAATTTATGATCACATATAGATAAAACATTAACTATTTATTTAGCGGCTTCAGGTATTTTTTATCATCTCACGCAATTTGTCAAAATATTTTTGCACAGTTTATTTATGTTTATATTATGCGTCCTTCAGTAAAAAAGGTCAATAATCAGATTTTACTAATAAATAAATGTGTATAATAATTTAATGAATTAAAAAATAGATAATTTGGTTGCACATATTAATCGGTATTAGTTGACCTTTGGCCATCTATCATTGTAGAAATATTGGGTTTACTTAATTTTTTCCATTTTTTGAATGCGAAAAGTGTCCACCTTATAAACTAATTTTGTGGAATTGGTCAGGAACGTTCACTTACCCTTCGTTGCGATTTCTAATTTGCAGCTAGTTGGCAAGATGTTTGAGGGCGCGCCGAAGTAAGCTCACCAAAATGCGCAAATTGTCTTGAACGAAAAGATGCAGATCCATATAGACTTTCTGTTTCTAAAAGAAAGACAAGTTTTAGAAAAAGTTCTAGTAATAGAGATCCTTACAGATAAAATAAAACCACGAAGTTAGTCAACGTGGCTCAGCAAAGTTGTTATATTTTTAGTTCAACAATAATATGCTAAATGCAATTTAGAAGCACGATCATTTTAAAGAACTATTTTGTATTTCATTGCATCCGACTGAGCTGTCAATTCTCTCTTATTAAAGGGCTCAATTTGCACTCGATGTGAATTGCATCAGGGGTCGTTCTTGTATTCCCGGACTGGACTGTTTTGAACTTTGATGCAATTTTTCATAATGCTGTTTTTTAATCACATATGCCTTGGCATAGAGTATTTCCTCTATGGCCTTGGTAACCTGGTGGCACTTTACAAAACAATTCTAACATTATTAATTTTATTATCTGTTAGTTTGCGTCGCCGCGGGTTGTAGATGTATCGAAATGAATAAAATTGAATATCGGGCTTTTATACAATTCCTCAAAAAACAAGGAAAACCTCAACAAAGTATTCTTGAAGAAATGTTGGCTGTATACTTTGATTATTGCCCTTCTAAGTCAACTATTCGCAACTGATCAACATTTTTTAAACATTGTTTAGGATCACTAAATGGTGATCCCCGTCTACCTGATGTTGATGTGATCACTGCAGATACTGTTGAAAAAACCAAATTTTTGGTACTGGAGGATGCAAGACGAAAGAAGCGTTAATTAGCAGCTTTACTAGGAGTTTCAGAAACCAAGGTTTTCAGAATTTTTACACAAATACCTTGGCATGACAAGGGTTAATGCAAGATGGATTCCGCGAATGCTTTCTCCATTCCAAACGCGTGTCCGCGTGTGAACAATTCTAGATTTAATTATCAATCGACTTGCCACTGGAGATGAAACCTTGGTTCATTATTATGATCCTGAACCGACACAGGAGTTGATGCAGTGGCATGTTAAAGGACGCATCCCTCCCAAGAAGTTTAAAGTCACCTCTTCTGCAGGAAAAGTACATGCAACCATTTTTAGGACCCAGGGAATTTTACTGATTGATCCTATAATTAAGGGTAGTACGGTAACGGGAGAGTATTATGCAAATCTGATGTATCACCTTAGAGATGTTATTAAAGTGAAGTGAAGAGACACGGAAAACTGACGTCGCGACTGACGTAAGGTGTCTTGTTGCTCGAAACAATGCACCAGTGCACAAGTTCAGACTTTCAAAAGCTGCTGTAGCGGATTTTGGCCATTTTGCGGAAAAACCAAATGGAAATAAAAATTGGATTAAGGGTGTTATTGTTGAAACGGTGTTATACCTGTATTCAATAGCGGGGGATATATTTAAAAAAATAAAATTTTGTTGTTGGTTTGGTCTTTTGTTCTCGTACCTAATTCGCGACATATAAACGACTCCTCCTACATCGAAGGACAAATTAGACTGGTCTTTGGAATTATGAGTGACAGTGATCGTGATAGAAGACATGAATAGATAGAGAGACGTGACTGAAACCCCCGTATACAAAATGCAAGTCATTCATATGGAGTATACACCCAAGTGCAATAAAAAGTTTCTACTTATTAGTCGCAGTAATTAATTCATTAGATGTATATTATTCAACCCTATTTAACCA